GCTCCATAGAGAGAAACTTTTTCTTTCACAATATTTGATGTTTTGTGCAAGTAGCTAGTTATATATTTTTTTAAGTTCTGCTTTATGAATGAGAAACTTTTCCCCTCTGCTCCAGCTGTGGTATGTTCCTCTGTGTCTTCACGTCTAATACACCTGTATTAGAAGTGGTGACCTCACGGGTCCGTAAATCACTGGAGCCCAGGGGAGAAGAAGCTGTGTGGACCGGTCTAGCAGTCAGGCAGGACCGAGGAGAGGGTGAGTATTTCTTCTTTCTTTTTGCCCCTAGGAAAAAAAGTGCACTTAACCCTTGCAGTGCTGTGGTAGATCCACTGAGATGGTTCATTTAAAAAAAATCCTGGAGTTGTTCTTTGTCTTGTTTTGAAGGCAACCTTTTGTTAGAACAATTTTTTTTTATGAGAGCGTTGCATGCATATTATAAATGCAGAAATAGTAAACTCAAGTGGGTTCAGTTCAGACAACTTTGTACGATCATCACATCATTATAATTTCATGACGCCATTTATCTCACGCTTGTTGTTCTTTTGCTTTCCAGTGCATGACTCCTCCACACAGTCCAGAATTCACCGAGCCGTGCTCAACACTCCCTCCTGCCTGCCAAGTGACATATTCCAAGCCAGTGACTGTCATGTCCAGCAGTTCTCAGTGTTCCGTGTCCTCTTCGAACGCGTCCAAACCTTTGACTCCGGCAGTCCACAGCTTGTCCTCGCCGGGGTCTGAGGTGTCGGAAAGGTCACAGCCCTGCAGGGCAATGGTCACAAGTGTCATACGTCACACAGCGGACACATCTGCCTTCCACCACCTACCCCAATCTCCACCTAAAGCACCAACTAAAGCCCTGTCCTCCCGAAAGTGTGACATCAAACATTCCAAGTTCACCAAAGAGACTCCTGTCCATGAGGACCTGACCAGAACCAGATCTCCTATGCACCTTCCACAGACTGAAATTGCCGGTGCAAACGCTGGGAACCAGCACACGGCCAGCGTCCAGACGCAGCAACCAGTGAAATGTGAAAGCGAACTCTCAAACGAGACCAGTCATCTGGTTTCCGTTCCTGTTTCTAGTTCCCCTGTTCTCTGCCAGATGATTCCAGTAAACGGGCAACCTGGTGTCCTCTCGGCTTTTATCAACACGCCCCCTCAAACCATGTGCAATACCATTAAACCCATTTTGCCCCAAACCGCCTCCCTTTCACAGCAAGTCCTTATGGGCACCCCGGTGTCTCCAGGAACTGTTATGTTTGTCCTTCCTCAGGCACCTGTCACTCATCCACCTCAGCATTGTCCACAGACTCTAATGACAGTCGGAAACACAAAGTTATTGCCTCTTGCCCCCGCTCCTGTATTTATTACGGCTGGCCAGACCAGCCCCCCACAAATGGACTTTTCCCGAAGGCGCAACTACGTCTGCAATTTCACTGGGTGCAGGAAGACGTACTTCAAAAGTTCCCACCTCAAAGCACACCTTCGAACCCACACAGGTGAGACTTCAAATCCACATTTATTAAAAAAAGAAATGATATATATATGCAAATGGTTTGAAGGCATTATAGCACTACCAATGCTAGTGTCTTGGAAAATTTAAAGGTACTTATACCCAGTCGGCGCTATAGAGGAAACATCGGCTTATGCGGCTCTGCTCCCTGCGCTGCCGCCTCGCTTCCTCTAGCGCCGGCTTGGTTGGCACCGCTGATTCTCTCCCGTGGCTCTTCAGGTTCCCCCTTATGCCACCACCGGCCCTGGGAATGGTCACAACTAGGTCTTATTTTCGGGGTAGGTCTTATATTTTAGCAATTCCCAAAAATAGTACCAGGTCTTATTTTCGGGGTAGGTCTTATTTTCAGGGAAACGGTACTAGATGGCAGCTGGACAGAATTGCACGTTCATAGTGGCTGACCAGCATTTTTTTTTTGCCCATGGAGGAGGCATTACCTGTGCATTGGATCTTCTCAGAAAAAGGGGGAGGACAATGGTGATCAGAAAGGAAAATCCAAGCTCATCGTCTTATCCCTTGAGAGCGATCAGCCAGGCACAGTTGGGACGTAGGGTTCACAAACGTAATTAGTTCCAAAACCGACCATAACACTCAGAGGGGGTCCCGAGGCGGGTTGTCACCCAGAGCGGAGACAGAGTGGCACCCCGCCCTGATGTCATTGCATGTGTGTGACATTGCTGTACGGGATGATGTCATCACGCATGGGCGGTCATCTTATTGACGCCTGCCTGTCTGAACTTGCAGCTTAGGTGAGCTTTAAACAATTGGTGGGAGATTAGAGTGGATGGGGAGAGAGGATAGAGATGATGGGGGTAATAGAATCTGCATAAACGTAACCTGGCCACTGTACCAAACACATCTCATGGATTCTGATTCTGTGTCATGTGACCTCAATTCTCCATGGGGTCATGTGGTTTGTTGTAGATGATTCCAAGGTCGGCACCCCTATACAGCCAAATTAGTCTGGTACCCAGAACAGGAGCATTGTGGGGCATTGAGGCTTTATCTCATCATCCTCTTAGTTTATGCCTAGTGTCTCCTAATTCAGGGGTGGACCATTTAATATTTAAATCAGCAGCCAGACTGTCCAATCCAGGAGCCGGTAGGATATATTGGAGCCAGTTCCATTAACAACGACTAGAGAGAACCTCAAATATTAGGTAATATTTGTAGTGTAATTTAGGGATGCACAGATACTTTTCGAGTACCAGTGAAGATACTTGGCATTTTCATGAGAACTACCAGGGTTGCTGCGGTTGCAGCTGGGACCTGGCTCTGGCACTCCACCACTGTCCTGAAATCATTAGTCTGTATTGTTTTAGAAAAACTGTCACATGACAATAAACAAAAATGTATCAGTACTCGTACTTGTAAGTACTCGGCAAGTACCAGTACTTGTACTCGCAAAACTGGTATCTGTGCATCCCTTTATTTATATTTATAAAAACAAAATCATACATTAAAACAGAGATGTACAAATCCCAGGAGCTCCGTGTGCTCCTTACAAATGGCAGCTGCCTCCTAATTTTTGAATCTTTCTCTAGTGTAGTCTTGGAGCTCAAAAGTATCGGTACTTGTATCCGTACTTGTACAGAGTACTGTACTTGGTATCTGTGCAACCCTAGTGTAATTTTATAAGGAGCGACCTGGCTCCTGAGATTCATCCAGCTCTGTTGTGTAGTTGGGCACCTAAATATTGAGGATTAATATACACGCAGCCATATAAAGGGAAGTTCTTTCTTTCTTTTGACTTTGCATTGGCTTTAGCTGATTTGGGATATGTCAGGTAGAAAATGTATTTGCTGGTTTCCATTTTTGAATAACCAAGTTGTGTTTATTTGGTACAAACAGGATTTGTTTTTTAAAGTGTATTTTGCTGGCAAGCGTTAGACGTGGACATCTTCATTTGTCTGAATATAGAACGGTTCTGTGCTGCCCACAGCTACCGAAGGATTGGGAAGAAATAATCTGATCAGTTGATGTTAACGGCACAGAGAATTCTTTTAGACATTTTTTAGATGTCTCGGGGTCACACATCCCTCACACAGCGTTGAGCCTCATTTCTCGGAGTGTCTTTAAGACTTTGGTTACCATGGCAGAAAATCAGATTCTGAGCTTTTTATTCTTGTTGTTGAGGTTGGCAAATGAAAAGGGGAGTTGGAATGGATGCTTGGGGCAACCCAGATGGCTCTTTCAAGCACCTATATTTTAATAATAGTCCATTACATATACCATTGGAAGGGTTTTGATGAAGGCAAAATATACCTAGTGAGCTTGTAACTTCCTGTACACTTCCCCAGTGCTGCACCATTCCCAGTTAGGACAGTTATCAGTTCTCCATGTGGACTACTGAACACCTCCCCCTGTGTAATAAGTGTCCTAACATGCTTCCCGTCCTAGTGTAACAACACATCATCTCCATAGATAAAGTACAGCAGGGGTAGGCAACTTTGGCACTCCAGCTGTTGTGGAACTACAAGTCCCATGAGGCATTGCAAGTCTGACAGTCCCAGGCATAACTTCCAGAAGCACGGTGGTATTTGTAGTTTCACCACAGCTGAAGTGCCGAGGTTGACTACCCCTGCCCCTTTCACACGGCTGATCAGGAGGGGATCCATGAACGGTGATCGGAGCAGTACAGATCGGATGTCACCGCTGTGGGATCCGTGTCTGCCCACGTTTTCCTCCATTTTGTGATGGAGGAAAGAACTAAAATTGTCGGACCCCATGTCAGCCTGTGGGGAGTCTGGGGAGTCAGATATTTATTGTACATGTGTCTGTTTTTACATCGGCTTACACTGTTCCGTTTATTTTTCCGGACCTAGCCGGAGTCGGGGGTAACCGGGTGTAAATGGACGGCCAAGCATTTCAACATGGCTGCTTATAGACTTGCATTTGGCATCTGATTGTGTCCGCCTGAAAAACTGACAGGCGGACCCGATTGGACTGCCCGTGTGAAAGGGGCCTAAGTAAGATCTGTCACCTGAGGAAGCGTGATACTGGCAGGATCACCAGGTGAAAAGAAAAGAGAAAATCCTGAAAAAGAAAACTAATGCAGCCACCCCATCTTAAGAGATGTATAAGCTGCAATACATTAAATTCATGTTCTTGGGTTTACAACTGTATGCTTCCATCAGCCTTCTAATTAATAAAAGTGTCAATCATTGAGTGCCGCAACCCTGGGAACCAATCATTATACATCATGTACTAGTAATGCAGTGAATTCTGATTGGTTGCACTGAAGGAATGGTTTTATTTTTTATTTAATATACTGTATGTTGTTGTCGCAGTGGAAGGGTTATCATTCTGCAGCTTAAAACTCAACGGGTATCTCTGTTCAAAAACTCCTCTCTCAGTGCATTTAATCTATATAATCAAGTACGAGTACCGATATTTATATTTCACTACTTTGTTGATGTCGAGTACCGATATCGGTTCTTCCGGTAGCATGGAGCCGGCTTCCCGGGTAATCAGGAAGCCGGGCAGTGCGTCATTACCCGCTGCCTGGCTTCTTAAATGCCCAGGAAGCCGGCACTATGTTGTTTGGACAGCTCAATGCTGATTGGCTTCCTGGCCAATCAGCATGGAGCCGGCTTTCCGGCCAATCAGGAAGCCGGGAGGTGGATCATTACACGCAGCCCGGCTTCCTGGTTGGCCAGGGATGCCGGCTCCATGCTGTTTGGCCGGCTCGATGTTCCCACGCGGCACTGCTGGTCAGAGGAAATCTCCCTTTGACTAGAAGTTCCAGTATTGGGATAAGAATCGTAGCATTTGGGCGAGTACGAATACTTGGTATTGGCACCGATACTAGTATCGGTATCGGTGCATGCCTAATAGATACCCTTTAAAAATAAAGAAAATCACAGCCAGTGCTCCCCTTCCCTACCTACCTTCTCCCCATAACTCCAGGTGCCATGTACTAAGTGATCTCAATAGTAACTCATTTCTATAACATTCCATAATCTGATCATTTTTTGTTTTCTGTTGCAGGAGAAAAACCTTTCAGCTGTAACTGGGAGGGATGCGACAAAAAGTTTGCCAGGTCAGACGAACTCTCTCGACATCGGCGAACCCACACGGGCGAGAAGAAATTCGCCTGCCCCCTGTGCGACCGCCGATTCATGCGCAGCGATCACCTGACCAAGCATGCCCGACGGCACATGACCACCAAAAAAGTTCCCTCCTGGCAGCCAGAGGCCGGGAAGCTGAACAGGATAACGACGTCTGAGCAGACAAGGAATCCCGGGCCGTCTTTAAGCATGCTGGTGTCCATGACCCCCCCGGTATACGAGTGACTGAACAAATCCATTCTAATCAAATGAAGCCTTTCGATTCCCGCACTGAATCACACAGAGACCTAAAACACACAAAAACTCAGTGCTTATACACAGGAAATAATAGCTATTTTTTTGGCAATTAGTTTTTTGTTTTAATATGTGAAATGTGTGTTCTGTAAAGCAGGTTTCATATTTTCCCTGATTCTATGTCCTTTTCCTCTTTTCTTGTACAAGAAATGGGGTTTGTTTTGTTGGAAAGATGTATCGCCTTAGAGTGCTGCCACCTAGGAAATGTATAGAGCAGATGAATGTGACAATGTCACTACAGGGTCCCTTATTAAACTAAGCCCATGCTCTAAAAGAAGCTAATCCATACATGCCTTTCTCAACTGGGGTGCAGCCTGGCCTCGTCGGGGGTACTTTCACATTTTTGCACAACATTATATGTTTGTCTTCTGACGTGAGGGGAGGCAGGCTTCTGACGTGAGGGGAGGCAGGCTTCTGACGTGAGGGGAGGCAGGCTTCTGACGTGAGGGGAGGCAGGCTTCTGACGTGAGGGGAGGCAGGCTTCTGACATTAAGAGGTGGCTTCAACGTGAAGAGAGGGACTTCTGATGTAAAGGGGGGACTTCTGACGTAGAGGGGGGGAATGGGACTTCTGATGTGAACATTTTTGCACAGCATCATATGTTTGCATGTTGCAGGTGAGCTTTGAAGGGAGGGGTGGACTTCTGATGTGAAGGGGGAACTTCTGACATGAAGGAGGACTTTGACATGAAGGAGGGCACTCTGATGTGAAGTGGGCTCTTGATGAAAGGGGGAGACACTGATCTGAAGAGGGGCAACCCCACATCTTTTTGTGGTTTTTTTTTTTGCATCTGGTATCTAGAATAAGGGTCTGCTATGGATTTTGAGGGGGGAACTACACTTTTTTTGCATTTACATTTTTTTAAATTCTAGACCAAGGGTAGGCAACCTCAGCACTCCAGCTGTGGTAAAAATACAAGTCCCATGAGGCATTGCAAGACTCCTGACAGCCACAGGCATGACTCCCAGGGGCAGAAGCATGATGGCATTTGTGGTTTCACCACAGCTGGAGGGCTGTAGTTGCCTACCCCTGTTCTAGATTAAGCTGCCTGGAGATTGTTCATACTTGGCTAATGGTCCCTTTAATGGTATTTATGATTGTGTAAACTTTGTGGAGTGCTGGTATGTCCTCAGTCCAGTTTATTAAACACTTTTTAAGTTGGGAATGCTCAGTGGTTACATTCAGCTCTCCCTTTAAACAAGGTCTACAGAGCAAGAGTTGGCCGGCCGTGCATTTTGAAGATGCTAGTTCTCCGATTAAAAAGTGGAACATCATGGACATGGAATCTTCCATCATTTTTTTAAAAACAACCTCTCAGAGTCTCCAGCAGCAAGATGTCACATCCAATGTTCTTAGATCTTTCCATCTCTGCCTTGGAGTCTTATTTCTCCATCCACATTCTGTGTTTAAAAGTGAAGGGAGTGAAACCTGAAATAATGGTTTTTGAATGTGAGCAGGGCTGGATTGTAGGTGCAGGAATCTCACCACTGGGGTGCCTGAAAACTATTAGGCCAATATACGTAATATACAGACAACTTACCATCTCCCACTAGGTTTGGTGGACTGATTGAACATTTAAAGAACTTCGCCACCCAAAGATAGTCTTGCGTATAAGGCGATTAGAAGATGTGCTTGATGGTCTCCTTGCCTCTGAAGCACCCTCTGATCACTGCCGCCAAAAACTTATCGGACGCAAGAGTTGAGCCCATTGACTTGACAGGGAAATCCTCTAATACCAAAAGGCAAAAGAAACGGGAGCAGCGAAGGAAGAGGACTGATAGTGGCAGGACTTTATACAGGAGGTAGTCATGTGAGGGCATCTATTTAATCAATTAATCACTCTTGTTCTTCGGGGGTTCTGGCGTTGAGAGCTCTGCCCCTGAATTCCCAGGTTCACTCAACTGCTCCAAATAGGTATTATGAAAGGGTCAGCTCTGATTGGCCTCCATTCCACTTGACGAACCTAAACCCTTGTATTGGCAAGCTTTAGCCTGAATTTATACTCTGCATCAAAGCATTGCCAGTAAGCCCCTTCTGAATGCTATATCAAAGGGAATTTTTATCTGGTGGGTCCATTATGTCTATTACACTAAACTTTATACGTCTTTCATCTTATTGTAATGTATTTATGTGGAATTTCCGTAGCATTTATTGGGCAATTTTTACAGTGACGTTCGGTCTCAACACTGGTGTGAGAGATGAAATGTTTCATTAGCGGATTTAAAGAGATCTAAGATCTATGACTAGTCAAAGCTTGATCATCAATGCCTTTACATAAAAGTGTATTATTTACCTGACGTGTGTCTTGCTATGAGATGACTTGCAGATTGTGATGACAATAAAAGCTGTTGTGTTTATCCACATAGACATACACTGCATGGCCAGAAAAAGTCACCACCTGGATTTTGGGCAGTGTTATGATCTGGGGTTGCTTCAGTTGGACAGGTCCAGGCACAGCCAGGGCTGGATTTAATCTTTCTGCTGCCCCAAGGCCACGTTCCTCAATGTGCCCCCCTCCCCGCCAAGCCCCTGTGTGATAGCGTTTGGAGGTGACAGGTTCTCTTTATTGACCCTGTCGCGTCCAATATAGGAGTTCTAGCATTGTGCTGGAACTCCTGTGACAGCTGATAGGGGAAGACTGCGAGTGCAGCTCTCCTGTCTTACTGTTTACACGGAGCAGAAAGGAAAACGGACGTTCTCTGCTCTGCTCCCCACTCTCCATCCTGAAGATCTCCGGACAGACGTGGCCAGCAAGGCGAGGGGGAGCGGCGGGTGGAGGATGGACCTGTAGTCTTATTACAGGTGTCTTGGCAACATCGCCGAGATCAGTTGTAAACGAACAAGCGGCTTCCCTGCTCTACATTCAGCTCTGCTTGCCCAAAGCAGAGCTAAATGTACAAAACAACTAACCACCCGGCACCCAGAACTGTATGTTCCGGGCGTCGGGAGATTCTACACCCCTGCCACCCCTCTGCTCCCTGTCCCCCCGAGGCCGGGCCTTGGTGGCCTTATGGGAAAAATGGCGCCGGGTACAGCATTGTTATGTCCCCAAAAATGAGGTCAGCTGCCTACCTAAATATACTAAATGACCAGGATTGTCCATCAATGGATTTTTTCTTCCCTGATGGCACATTGGGCATATTCCAAGATGACAATGCCGCGATTCATCGGGCTCAGATTGTGAAAGAGTGATTCAGGGAGCATGAGACATCATTGTCACACATGGATTGGCCACCACAGAGTCCAGACCTTAACCCCATTGAGAATCTTTGGGATGTGCTGGAGAAGGTATTCTGAGTGTCATCTATTAATAAATGGATTTGCACTGACTTAAAGTCTCGTCGTGCTGGTGTCATCTGTATTCAAAAGTGCTGGAGAAGACTACACAGTGGTCCAATTCTCCCATCATCACTACAAGATCTTGGTGAAAAATGAATACACGATGAACAGAGATATATGTTGTGACATTGTATAAGCTTATCCAAACGATGCCACGGCGAATGCATGCCGTAATCAAAGCTAAAGGTGGTCCAATGAAATAGAGTGTGTGACTTTTTTTTGGGCCAGGCAGTGTATAATGGAAACACTTGTGTTACTCTATAAGCTGTAAACCTGACAATGCAAACTTTTTAGTGGATAACGAACACGTAAATCCACCTGCTTAAAGACGTAAAACAAAGTTTTCACCCTTTTACTATTTCATGTGCTTGCTCCCGGCTGCCCTCTGGTGGCACATTTACATGAGCCACAGGGAACCCCTTCCATCCGTTCTTGTTCTCCTTCATGGATTCACTCACAGGGTTATTCACAAAAGGGTGAAGGGTTTGGAGAAGGCAGGAGAAGTGAACAATCTAGGACAACATTGCTGATTTGGGAAAATTCTCCAATTCAGCTCACTTTCCAGTTCAGCTATGTTGTCCTAGATTGTTCCCTTCTCCTGCCTTCTCCAAACTCTTCACCGTTTTGTGAATAACCCTGTGATCAGTATTTCCTTATTCATTGATTTTGTAAGGGGGAGCTTCAACAAAGCAAAATGCTAGAGAAGCTTCTATGACTTGCCCATTGCTTCCAAAGTCCGAGCTTTTGCTCTCTCCAGCACCGAAGGTAAGTGAAGAAAAAAAAACATGCTGATAGGGAGCAGGCCCAGCGCTACAGGTGGTCGGGGAGGGGGTGGGGGTTTGCGCAAAAATGCAACTTTGCCTGTGTAGGCCAAAATCCTAGCACCGGCCCTGGACCGAGCAGATACCCGTTTTTTTTATAAATTGATACTTTAGTGAGATGCTACTGAAAACTATGAAGATATTGGCTCATTGAGACTGCCCCGAAATCTCAGCCATCAAGTAAATCTTGTGGATCTACAGAAGACTTGGGCTGGTCAGGGCCAAAGCTGGGGGGTTTCCTGGGTGCCGCTTTAGGAGGGGTGTCACTGGGTGTGTGGATGGAGAACTTCTCTCTAGGGCGGGAGCAACTCTGAGACAGAATGTCTAGCTTCCCCACTGGGGCGGGCCATTTGTACCGATTTAGACTTCCCTTGTTCAGATCCGTAAGTTGAATGAGAGAAATCACTCGATTTCCCCCCCCCCCCCCACACTAAACTCTCGCGAGGGG